AAAGAGTGTGTAGTTAACAAAATAAAATATGGGCACTAATTGAATTGGCCTCACTTAATTGAACCATATATGCTTGAAGTGTAAATAGATTCTTCCAAGTTACAGGAAGCATTTTAATCTCTTTAAGTAGGTAGACATTCACATTTATATACTGCTCTGTTTTGTATACAATGTCTTTCCACAATGAAAAAGCCTGAAGTATGGGTATCTGGAGGTGTGGATTCTAGCCCTGTGTGGATTTGGGTAGGTCCTTATACTGGAAAAGAGAGCTGCACAGGGTAACCGTGTAGAGTCCTCGTCAAGCATGCACATTCTTTGCCTTTCGTCACAGCAAGTTTAAGATCCCAAACCAGAAGTTCCAAATCAGAGATATAGTATTTAGCCAATGTAGCGTTGCTGACAAAACATGATTTACTTCCATTATTGATGTAATTTCTTAACTGAAAAGCTAATACCTAGTTTTTGTTTTCTTTTGATTAGGTTTTTCTCTGGATATTATTCACGTTAATGAACAAGTATAGATGTAGATTGAGAATTCTTAACAAAAGCAGTTTAGATTAAAAAAAAACCCACAATGATTATTATTTTTGAGGTAAAATTCACATACCGTGAAGTTTTTACCTATTTAAAGTGTACAGTTCACTGGTTTTGGTATATTTACAAGGTTGTGTAGCCATCACCACTATCTAGGTCTAGAACATCTAGAACATTTTCATCACCTCAAAAATAAACCTAGAACCCATTAGCAGTCAGTCTCCATTCCCTCCACCCTTCAGCCTCTGTCCATCGATTTTTTTTTTTAATTGAAATTTGCTTTATTCTTTGCAGAATCCGAGAAAACAGGGGCCTGAAACTCAAGGCAGTACCGCAGAATTAATTACAGGGCTCGTCCAACTGGTTCCTCAGTCACACATGCCAGAGATTGCTCAGGAAGCAATGGAGGTAAGGAGAAAATGAATTCTAGGCTCTTGAAGGTAAAGTTGTAACTACGTACATTCCTTTTTTTAATCTATTACTTTAAAATTTTTTCCTTTTTATTTTATTAAAAAAATTTTTTTATCCAATTTTTAAAGGTTACTTTCCATTTACAGTTACTACAAAATATTACCTATATTCCCCATGTTATGCAATATATTCTTGAGCCCATCTTACACCCAATAGTTTGTACCTTCCACTCCCCAGCGCCTGTATTGCCTGCCCCCCAAACTCCTTCCCACTGGTAACCACTGGTTTGGGCTCTGTATCTGTGAGTCTGCTTCTTTTTTGTTATATTGACTAGTTTGTTAGATTTTTTAGATTCCATATATAAGTGATATCATATAGTATTTGTCTTTCTCTGTCTGACTTATTTCACTTAGCATAATGCCTGCCAAAGTCCATCCATGTTGCTGCAAATGGCAAAATTTCTCTTTTATGGCTGAGTAGTATTCTGTTGTATATATATGTATTCATTACCACATCTTCTTTATCCATCTGTTGGATGAATGGACACTTAGGGTGTTTCCATATCTTGGCAGTTGTAAATAATGCTACTATAAACATTGGGGTGTATGTATCTTTTCTAATTAGTATTTTTGTTTTTTCCAATATGTACCCAGGAGTGGAATTGCTGGTCATATGGTAGTTCTGTTTTTAGTTTTTTTTGAGAAAAAAACTGTTCTCCGCAGTGGCTGCACCAGTTTACATCCCCACCAACAATGTACAAGGGATCCCTTTTCTCCATATCCTCATCAACATTTGTTATTTGTGTTCTTTTGGTTCATTCTGACAGATGAGGTGATGTCTCATTGTGGTTTTGATTTGCATTTCCCTGATGATTACTGCTATTGAGTATCTTTTCATATGCCTGTTGGCCATCTATATGTTTCTTTGGAAAAATGTGTATTCAGTTCTTTTGCCCATTTTTAAAATCGGGTTGTTTGTTTTTTGATGTTGAGTTGTATGAGTTGTTTATATGTGTTGAATATTAATCTCTTATCAGTCATATAGTTTGCAAATATTTTCTCCCATTCAGTAGGCTGTTTTTGCATTTTGTCAATGGTTTCCTTTGTTGTGCAAAAGCTTTTAAGTTTAATTAGGTCCCATTTGTTTATTTTTGCTTTTATTTCCTTTGCTTCAGGAGACAGATCTAAAAAAATACTGCTACCATTTATATCAAAGAGTGTTCTGCTTGTTTTCCTCTAGAAGATTTATGGTTTCTGGCCTTATATTTAGGTCTTTAATCCATTTTGAGTTTATTTTTGTATATGGTGTTAGAGAATGTTCTAATTTCATTCTTTGACATGTAGCTGTCCAGTTTTCCCAGCACCACTTATTTTCTTCCATTGTTTTTTTTTTAATTAATTAATTAACTTATTTTTGGCTGCATCGGGTCTTCATTGCTGCGCGCAAGCTTTTCTCTAGTTGCAGCGAGCTGGGGCTACTCTTCATTGCGGTGCGTGGGCTTCTCATTGTGGTGGCTTCTCTTGTTGCGGAGCATGGGCTCTAGGCACATGGGCTCAGTAGTTGTGGCTCATGGGCTTAGTTGCTCCCCAGCATGTGGGGTCTTCCTGGACCAGGGGCTCAAACCCATGTCCCCTGCATTGGCAGACGGATTCTTAGCCACTGTGCCACCAGGGAAGGCCAGTATGGTCATTTTAACAGTATTGATTCTTCCAATCCAAGAACACGGTGTATCTTTCCATCCGTGTGTTGTCTTCAGTTTCTTTGATCAGTGTCTTATAGTTTTCAGAGTATAGGTCTTTTGCCTCCTTAAGTAGGTTTATTCCAGGGTATTTTATTTTATTTTTTTGATGCGATGGTAAATGGGAATTGTTTCCTTAATTTCTCATTCTGATAGTTCACAGTTAGTGTATAGACATGCAACAGATTTCTGTGTATTAATTTTGCATCCTGCAACTTTACTGAATTCATTGATGAGCTCTAACAGTTTTTTGGTAGCATCTTTAGGATTTTCTATGTATAGCATCATGTCATCTGCAAACAGTGACAGTTTTACTTCTTCCTTTCCAATTTGGATTTCTTTTAGTTCTTTTTCTTCTCTGATTGCTGTGGCTAGGATTTCCAAAACTATGTCAAATAAAAGTGGCAAGAGTGGACATCCTTGTCTTGTTCCTGATCTTAGAAGGAAATGCTTTCAGCTTTTCACCATTGACTATGATGTTAGCTGTGGGTTTGTCGCATATGGCCTTTATTATGTCGAGGTATGTTCCTTCTGTGCCCACTTTCTGGAGAGTTATTATCATAAATGGATGTTGAATTTTATCAAAAGCCTTTTCTGCATCTATTAAGATGATCATATGGTTTTTATTCTTCAGTTTGATAATGTGTATTACTTTGATTGATTTGTGGATATAAAAAAAATCCTTGCATCCTTGGGATAAATACCACTTGATCATGGTGTGTGATCTTTTAATATATTGCTGAATTCATTTTGCTAATATTTGGTTGAGGATTTTTACATCTGTGTTCATCAATGATATTGGCCTGTAATTTTCTTCTTTGCCATAGCTTTGTCTTATTTTGGTATCAGGGTGATGGTGACCTCGTAGAATGAGTGAGGAAGCATTCCTTCCTGTGCAATGTTTTACAATAGTTTGAGAAGGATAGGTGTTAACTCTTCACTAAATGGTAAAATTCACCTGTGAAGCCATCTGGTCCTGAACTTTTGTTTGTTGAGAATTTTTTTTATCATTAATTCAGTTTCATTACTGGTCATTGGTCTGTTCATATTTTCTATATCTTCTTGATTTAGTCTTGGAGACTGTAAATTTCTAGGAATTTGTTTTTTCTCAGGTGTCCATTTTATTGGCATATAATTGTTCATAGTAATCTCTTATGATCATTTGTATTTCCATGGTATCAGTTGTAACTTTTCCTTTTTCATTTCTGATTTTATTCTTTTAGGCCCTCTCCCTTTTTTTCTTTCTTTTTTTTTTTAAATGCTATACTTTTTTTTTTTTAATTTTTATTTATTTTTATTTGTGGCTGTGTTGGGTCTTCGTTTCTGTGCGAGGGCTTTCTCTAGTTGCAGCAAGCGGGGACTACTCTTCATCGTGGTGTGCGGGCCTTTCACTGTCGCGGCCTCTCTTGTTGCGGGGCACAGGCTCCAGACACGCAGGCTCAGTAGTTGTGGCTCACGGACCTAGTTGCTCCGTGGCATGTGGGATCTTCCCAGACCAGGGTTCAAACCCGTGTCCCCTGCATTGGCAGGCAGATTCTCAACCACTGTGCCACCAGGGAAGCCCTCCCTTTTTTTCTTGATGAGGCTGGCTAAAGGTTTATCAATTTTGTTTATCTTTTCAAAGAACTGCTCTTAGTTTCATTGATCTTTTCTATTGCTATTTTAGTCTCTGTTTCTCTTATTTCTGCTCTGATCTTTATGATTTTTCTTCTACTAACTTTGGGTTTTGTTTGTTCTTCTTTTTCTTGTCCCTTTAGGTGTAAGTTTAACTTGTTTATTTCAGATTTTTCTTGCTTCCTGAGCTAGGCTTCCTCTTAGAACTGAGGTAATCTTCTCTCTTAGAACTGCTTTTGCTGCATCTCATAGATTTTCGTGGATCATCATGTTTTCATTTTCATTTGTCTGCAGGTATCTTTATTTCCTCTTTGATTTCTTCAGTAAACCATTGGTTGTTTAGTAGCATATTGTTTAGCCTCCATATGCTTGTGTTTTTTTGTAGCTTGTTTCTTGTAGTTGGTGTCTAGTCTCATCATAGTGTTGTGGTTGGAAAAGATGCTTAATATGATTTCAGTTTTCTTAAGTTTACTGAGACTTGTTTTGTGACCTAACATGTGATCTATCCTGGAGAATGTTCCATGTACACTTGGAAAAGAGTGTGTATTCTGCCGCTTTTGGATGGAATGTTTTCTACATATCTGTTAGTTGATATAGACTAATATGTTGTTTAAGGCCAGTGTTTCGTTATTGGTTTTCCGTCTGGATGATCTGTCCGTTGATGTAAATGGTGTGTTAAAATCACTACTATTATTATGTTACTGTCAGTTTCTCCCTTTATGTCTGTTAATATTTGCTTTATGTATTTAGGTGGTCCTATGTTGCATGATAAAAAGAGACATCTCATTATTGCAAAGGATTCTAATCCATCCAGAAAATAAAACTTTATATGAGTCTAATAACAAAGATTTAAAATATATAAAGCAAAAACAAAATTTCTAAATATATAAAAGCATGTAAAGTAAAAGGAGAGATAGACAAATACAGTTATAGTGGGATGCTTGAGCATACCTTTCTCAGTGTCTGATAGAATAAGCAAGCAAACACATACTAAGGGTAGAAGATCTGAACAACATGGTTATCAGATTTGACCTATTTGACACTTACAGAGCACTGCATTCAATAAATGCATTTTCTTTTCAAGTACATGTGGAACATTTAGTGTATCTTGAGCATAATGCAAGTCTCAACAAATTCTGAAGGATTGAAATTATCCAAAATTTTTTTTATGACTACATTGAAATTAAGCTAGATAGCAGATAACAAAAAGGTTTATGAAAGATCAAATGACTATACAGTTGATGCTTGAACAACATGGGTTTGAACTGTGCAGGTCCAGTTGTATGCAGAGTTTTTCAAAAAAATATGTTGGAAAACTTTTTGAATATTTACGACAATTTGAAAAAACTTGCCAATGAATTGCTAACCTAGAAATACCAAAAAAATTAAGAAAAAGGTATGTCATGACATAAAATATATATGGATACCAGTCTATATTATCATTTTTTGGGTCATTTATTTTATTACACTTTTTTACTTTTTTTAATTGAAATATAGTTGATTTACAATGTTGTGTTAATTTCTACTGTACAGCAGGGTGATTCAGTTATACATATACATACGTTCTTTTTTTTAATATTCCTTTCCGTTATGTTTTAATCACAGAATATTGAATGTAGCTCCCTGTGCTATACAGTAAGACCTT